GATCAACTGGGAGGATCAATGGTTTATACTAAGTTCGACCTTCAGCAAGGTTTTCATCAGATGAAAATTGCTGAAGGAGATATAGAAAAGACTGCATTTGGGACGAGGTATGGCCACTATGAGTGGCTGGTGATGCCGTTTGGGTTAGTGAACGCACCCAGTACGTTTCAAAGAATGATGACAGATATTCTGCGTGAATATATAGATGATTTTGTACAAGTGTATTTAGATGATATTTTAATATACTCCAAGAATTTTGAGGATCATTTGATCCATGTCGAAAAAGTACTGGAGGCTTTGAAAACGGCCCAGCTGAAAATTAGTGGAAAGAAGTCAGTACTTTTCGCTGAGGAAATGCAGTTTGTGGGGCATGTGATCTCAAAAGAAGGCGTACGTGTAATGCCTGAAAAAGTGGAGGCCATCAGGACTTGGCCTCGTCCGAACAACGTGTATGATGTCCGGGCTTTTCTTGGGCTAGCGGGGTATTACCGACGGTTCATCAAGGGGTTTGCTAAGTTGGCAGCCCCGTTGCACGGCCTGACGGCTGGGGCAGTGAAGAAGAAGCAGCCTGTGGAGTGGCTGCCGTTTCATGAAGCTGCTTTCGAGAGTTTGAAAGCAGCGCTGCAGTGTGCTCCTGTGCTGGGTACTCCAGATGTGAGTAAACCGTATATCATGGAAACAGATTCCAGTGATTATGCTACAGGAGCAGTTTTGTTGCAAGTTGGAGATGATGGGCTGGAGCATCCAGTAGCGTTTGAGTCTTCAAAGCTGAATTCGGCTCAACAAAACTACCCAGCGCAAGAAAAGGAATTGCTGGGGATCATGAATGCATGGAGAAAATGGAGAGTATACTTGGAAGGCGCGGTGGCGGATACGATCGTTTGTACTGATCATGCCTCTTTAGTATACTTGAAGAGCCAGGTGCTGCCATCTCGGCGGTTACATTGCTGGATAGATGAGTTTGCTGAGATGACAATCAGAGTCGAGTATAAGAAAGGTAGTACAAACATTGTACCTGATGCGTTGAGTCGCCGTAGCGATTTGATGGTGGTACAGGAGCTGGGTCACGCTTTGAGGGACCCAAGTGATTGGCCGTTGCTGATCCCTTATATTTTGGGGCAACGAGTACTACCTGACTGGGTAGATGCCACAAGCAAGGCGCTTGCTCTGTCATCTATTGATAAATTTGAGTATTCAAAAGGGGAAGACGAGTTGCTGTATGTGCATAATGAACGTTCCCCGTTTGTTCCTTTCGATCATCGGGGGGATGTTTTGGATAGCGTACATGAAGTGTCTGGTCATAGGGGACGGGACGGTACGTTGGCTTTGCTTAAGGGCCGAGGTTGGTGGCCGAAGCGGTATGCGGATGTTGAAGAGTATTGCAAATTTTGTCCACAATGTCAGATCTTTGACAATCCAAAGAAAGGGTTGGAAAACGGTCTGCAACACCCTCTTCCAAGTGCTGACCCTTTTGAACGGTGGGGCGCGGATTTCATCCAGCTACCGGAATCAAAGGAAGGATTTAAGTGGGTACTATCGATTATTGACCACTGTACAGGGTGGCCAATAGCAGTACCACTTAAGGAAGCTACGTCGGAGAACATCGTCGACGTATGCATCAATGAGGTGTTTCACCAATTTGGTGTCCCCTCTGAAATCCTGACGGACAGAGGTCTGAATTTTTTGTCAAAAGATATTTGACGTTTTTATCAGAGGACACATATCCGGAAGTTGAATACTTCTGGGTATCATCTGCGGACCAATGGAAAAACTGAGCGTTTCAATGGTTTGCTTGAGAAAGCGTTGTTCAAGCTAAATGGCACCGGTGATGAAACACGGTGGCCGGAGTTCTTGAGACAGGCAGTGTTCTCTGTTAGGATAAATCCTAACACGGTGACCGGTTGGTCGCCGTTTGAACTTTTGTATGGTGTGAAGCCCCGTCTCATAGGGGATCATGCGAAGCTACGACCACCAGTACTGGCGGATGAAGGTGTAAGTCCGGATGCTGCTACAGCAGCTAGGCGCAAGCGTCTTTCGGAACTTCAACTGACCAGGGCAGTGGCTCGCGAGAAGCAGCAAGCCAGAGCAATCGAAAATAAGAAAAAATTCGATGCTGGTGTAATTCACAGTAACAGCCTGCGATCTTATTCCGTAGGAGAATGTGTTAAGTTACGGAATGAAACCGCAACGAAAGGGCAGCCCAAATGGCATGGGCCATTCGAAATTTTTGACAGCTTAGGTCAAAATGTGTATCGGTTGGTGGATCCAATGGGTTCGTTGTTTCCTCATTTGGTGAATGGTAATCGGCTGCAGCCGGCAAAGGTGCGGGATGCATCCTTGATCTCGCCGTGGGCTTTGCCGAAACAATTGCAGGAAAACAAGAAAAAAGTACAAGAGAAAGTTCCAATGGAACTAGCTACAGAGGCGGTAAAAATGACGCGTGCCCAGAAGAAGGCGGCGCGGTCCAGAATCCGAATCATTGGTAGGTTTGGAAATTCGCCGAGTGTGACGGCTCAACCCTAGGGGGGGATGGTTGTAGCAGGGCTACAGTATGGCTCAGAAGAGGTTCCTGTACATACAGCTGTACTGAATACGTACAGGAAGTAATACTAGGGTATCACTGATCAACTCGTGCTGAGCCAGACATAGAACTTGTCTACCCAAGATGAATGCAGGGAATGACAAGACTCCACTCGAAGGCTAGAGCCTCGAGTGGATTAGCTTAGAGATGACTCTAACAATGAGATCGCTTAGAAGTGAAGAGACGCTCGTCCTAAGACAAGCGTCTCAAGAATAGCTGAAGGGATCATCTTCAATAAACGATGATGCACCTTTCTGGCTAAAGGCCTCAAGCAAGGAGGACAAGCTCAGATATACAAGGGTAGAGTGTCGGCCGAACGGGTCCCCATACCAGCTAACTAGTGGGAACCCCATTCTTGACCTACTGCATTTCTCTTACTTCCGAAGTCTCTGCTCTATGTTGTTGCGTATAAATAGAGCCGCTCCTTCTTTGCAATTAAGAACCAGTTCTCTAAGAATTATCTTTTCGAGAATACCTTCGTGCCCTCTGTCCCCCATCAGACATCGTCCATTCCCTAAGTCTTCCCTATCTAAACTCACTACGTAAGTCTAAGTAGATTTAATACAATCCGTATACGAGGCGCAGTTTCGCCCCGTTACATTTATAGGTGGCCGTCGTCCCTGTAAGAGGGTACAGCGTAGCCGTAAGCTGCTCTCTTACTGGTGGAGACGATGTGTACTCCGTCGTCCTAAAATACAAAACATTTATACACAACACTTCAAGTCCATGTCCAAATTTTTATATAAAGAAACGTGCGATCAAGCTAATTCTCACCCGAACAAACCTGGTTGGTCCTTGGGTATATTCTTACCGTACAACAAACAGACAGGCAAACTCGCCTACAAGCACCAAGGTTTTGACGTCCAAGGTGGAGGTTTTTGGTGGCCAGATCTTAAATGTGAAGTGGATCTTGGATTCTGTGACGGGATGACAGAAGTTTTATGGCGGGGTAACAAGGACCTTATCTGTACCAGGCCCTCGATCGAGCCTTCAGGAAAGTTCACTCGAGTAGGAGCTTCCTTTCAAGTTAACACCAAGTATAGAAACGCCTGTGGTTCCATCACAAAACGTTGGAAATCTTACGTCAATCCAGGCCGGACGGTGGCACAACTCAAACAAAGGAACTTGAAGCGCCTGCGATACATTGGTAGTCCCTCATTTTTCTATAAGATGTATCTCAAACGAATTGCAGAACAAGAAAAGCAAAATTCAAAAAAAAACTCTGAATCTCCATATCTTTCTTCTGAAATCCTATCCGAAGCCTGTGTCGATTTAATGTACTTTATCATAAACGAAAATGCTGTAAAGGAGTAGCACATGAAAGTTATAGTTCTTATATTACCCTGTTAAATCCATCCTTACCACAAGATACATGCCTACTCAGCACCAGCACTTTCTTTTTCCACAGTCCTCGTCAATTTCGGCGTCACATGGTTTTGTCACTTCTGATGCCTCATGAGCTATATCTTCCTGATTAATACGGACTTGTTGATATCTATCAAACAAACCGATTAAAACCTCAGGTTCGTTCAAAAGTCGGAGAAGGTCAACCGAACTGAGCCCGCGGGAATTTGCTCGAGAAGTCTCCCTTGGTCAAGTCTCAAGACTTGGCTCTGATACGACTCTCGAATCGACTATCATACACATGAGTCACAGAAGCTGGTACGCGAACCGACCACGAAATGGCTGATTAGATCGGGGAATGATGACTATGAAGAACCTAATGATGAACAATTGCGGCGTTGAAGATCTCCAAAACAAACAAAAGATGGCAGAGTAGAGTTGTACGTATCAGGTCAACATGGTGCTAAGATGATGGGCAGTGTTGTAGATGACTGTTTTTGGACCAAATCCCCGGGTTGGATTATGACCGCATGAAGAATTGGCAAATGGCCATATTGGATTTTTGCGTATCAATAATGTCGAGTGCTATCGAGCCGCATTCAAATCCTCAGCAGCTGAACTATCATACTGAATTGGACTGATACCACATTTGTCTTTGATGGGGCGTTAGGTGAAGACAACTTTGTAAAGGTTGGAGTTCAAGCACGCTTCGGAATAGCAAGTCAAGAAATTCGAAAGTGACGCCAAGTTCAAATGATCATCTATCATTGTTATATAGCCCATTTCAAAACACCTGGTCACATTTTGATTCGCACTGATCTGATGTTCACTCATTGGAGGTGACTGACTTTCAGCCCCCTTTGGATTTCCATCTGTCATGAAACTTTTCGTGTGCTTCGATTGCCAATCGGCGTCTCTTTCGATTTGGAGAGTCATCAGTCCAGATTGATATCAATTTTTTGAGCCATCAGTGTCGTCTTCGAAAACCTATATAAGGGACCATTTATCGTCCATCGTCAACTTTCCTGTTTTAGATCCAAGCTTACACTTTTCTCAATCTTACCCTTTACCAATCATGACTTCCATATCTATTAGCGATTGCTCTTCAGAAAGATACCCTTCTTCTATCTCACCTTCTTCTATCTCTTCTTCTATCTCGTCTCCACCAAGCTCCTTCGGTGATGAAGATTCCAAATCAACCATTCCTGAACCTATCTTAGAACTCTCGATCACTTCACCACAAGAGTTACCAATTTTACTTGACGTTAACCTACCTGAAGATACCATCGGTAATGAACCATCAAGTCCACCAAGATTAAATCAAATCATATTACGACATTCACCTTCAATGTCGGTGATCCCCAGCAAGACCACTCAAATCAATAGAACTCGAGCCAATTCTCTTACTAGTACTTGTAGTCTGGCTGAAAGACGTGGTAGTAAAACTTCAGCTTATCTTGGTACTGACGATTTCAAGAAAAACTTTGCATCAAAATTGAATTCAGTTAAAGCTCGTGAAAGAACTCAAAGTAGTGAACCAAATAACTGGACAGGAAAATCAAACGTTTGGAACTTTCCTTCGATAGAGGAAACTTCACCTACTTTACCTACAGATCGTGATTTTTCTTTCAATCGTCATCAATCTCAACAAAACGTTAGTAATCTTCTAATACTCTTTTTTTCGTCTTTTTTGCTTTCTTTCATATCTATGATACTAATCCATTCATCAATTTTATTTCATAGAAAATATGTGGATTAGCTCCTTCTGCTATACCACCACGTGGAGATAAACTACATGATATGATCAATCATCTTTTAGCATTACCAACAGACGAATTAGCAGCTCAATTAGAAATGCATTTCAATCGACTTGAACCAGGACGTGATGCAGAAGAATTAGAAGCAAGAAATGAAGTGATTTCAACTTTAGCCGATCAACTTGCCAATCAATTAGAATCCAATGATAAATTATTATTCGATTTAGGTTGTTTACGTTCAGCGCATGCTTCATTATGTTCGGAATTAGCTGATGTGAAAGACGAAATGGCTTCTTTGTTATCTACTATGAATGGTACTACTGTCGAGAATCATCAATTATCTAAAGTTAAACTTCAATCTGAGGATCAAATTAGAGAGTTAAGAAAGGCTTTAGAAGAAAGTAAGATTGCATTAGGTAGACTTCAACTTGAACAACAATCGAAAGATAGACGTCGTAGCTTACAAAATTATCAAGCTACACTTAATTTAGTTTCTTCAAATTCTTCTCAACATCATCATCATCTTGGTGGACCCAAACGTTCAGGTTCACTTCTTCTTGGTAAAGATTTGACTAATGGTCTTATTCACAAAAGACTTTCATTAAGTGACGGTAGTAATTCAATTTCAAATCAAGAGAATCATTTCTTGAGACCTGGTTTTCTTTTCTCTAGTACTGGTAAACCTATCAGACCACCAAGAAGTCCAGCGAGATCTAGTACAACCTCACCTGTTTTATCTGAAGAACCTTCCTCGAGTGGAACAAGTGATAAAGAAGAACTAGAGTTACTCCGATTACAATGCACACAACTAAGAATTGAACTCAATGAAAGGTAAGCCTATATACATGATCATCTATATCAACTAATCCAAATACTTACTCTACCTTTTTGAATTTGTTTTTTTCTTCAGTGAGGACTCTAGATTAGCATCACAAGCAGCTTTAGATGCACTCAAAACATTCATTTCATCCAATGGAACAAATGAAGCATCAAGTGTAAAACTACCACCATTACCAACTGATATCGAATCACCAATTTCAAAACCACGTTGGGGTTTATTAGCTCGTACATTCGTCACACCTCCTTCTCCTAATGCAGCTTTCTCTGGTTTTGGATTATGGGGTAAAAAACCGAGAGAAAGTGAAGAATTACAAACTCAAGCTTTGACTAATTTACCGGTTGCTTTTTCGGGTTCTCGTAGAGATTGATACCTTCATTCTTACCCACCCACAAAAAAATGTTTGATTCATCTTTAAATCCATCTCTTGGATTGCTTTCTTGAATATCATCATTTGCTTAATTGATATTCATCTCGTTTGATCTTATGACCTTTTTCTTTGCTCTTGATTTTATCTATCAATTGTTTTTTTTTGCTTCTTCGATATCTTAGATATGATGCTCATGATGATCTACTTTCACATCATTTTTGAATCTTTCTTTTGATTGCTTTCTTCTTGTATACTTTTACATCTAATCTGTTTGATCACTTTTATCTGTTGTACATCTTTCTGTTCTTTGATACAAAAGACAAAAATGAAACCGAAAAATGCAAAACAAAAAAAAAATTAAAAATTAAAACCCATTCATCTCTTTTGATTCCAGTTTTCTCTTGGAACGATGAGAAGGATAAAAGCTAGATTGTTATTTGATATATGTATTTTGGGGAAAGTTGATCATGGATTTGGAGGACATAAATTGTCAAATTCGATTTTGTTGTCTGAATGTTGATTAACTTGAAGTTGAAACAGCAATTAAAAATAGCTACGTACTAGTATCCTGACTCAGAAAAAATGAGGTATAAGATACGTGCATATTTTACGAAGCGGCTGCGGAAGGCATTGTGAGACGAGAGTTTCTGTGCTTCACGCAAGACAAACATCAGTTTCATTGTCGGAGTTGTCGGGATGTGATGAAACAATTTGTGAACTCAGCAACCAGATATAGTGCTTTTGTGATTCAATCTCAAACAGTTCTCAACTCCGCAGGTCCAAGGATTCAGGGAAGGATTAGGGAGAATCAGATCTTAAAACTCAGATGTAAAATCATCAAACATCTTTCATGACCTACAAGTGATCTTTTCTCAACACAAAATTATTTAAATTAATCTGCAAGCTTTAAAAACACATCTTGGAGATTCATTTCAACTTCAAGTAAAACCGTTCGAAACATTTACTCAAAGTGAAAATAACCAATCAAAATCAATGACAACAAGAAACCGAAAGATGAACGGATATCAACTTTGTCGGTTCAAAATTCTGGTGATGTTTCTTTTGGCGTTTGAAGGATTTCAAGCTTCTAAATTCTTGAAAAGAGACGTAGCTATTGAAGGTTCACCTAGTGGAGATTATGAACCTGTTAGAACTTTTTGTCCAAATGGACCTAATCTTAGATTTTCAGAAACAGGAGATGTAAGTAAAAAGACACAAAGGAAATCTTGTGGAAGTTTTACAATTTATTTATCTATTACTCATAGACAAGATTAATGAAAATATGATAAGATTCAAAAGTTAACATTTTGATTTGATATTCTTTTTGACTTTATAGTCTCGTCTAAGTGAAGCAGAAACAAATTATGTAAAAGAAAAATCATCCAAATCAATCCCATTATGGAAAGATTATTTAAATCGAGTCAAACTTAATAATTTTGATGTAAACCAATTTTTAGCTAAAGCTGAACATCAAGGAGGGATTGGAATGAATACGTTACCTTCTTTTGGTTTTGCAATTAGTGGTGGTGGGGTTAGAGCATTATGTTTAGGTGCATCAATTCTCGAAGGATTTGATGGTAGAAATCAAAAAGCTGTAGATGCTAAGGTTGGTGGTTTAGTTCAATTGGCTACATACGCTTCTGGATTATCTGGGTAAGTTATCTTCCAGACATACATAGTAAAGAGTTTTCTAAATACTTTTTCCCGACTTTTGCCTACCAATTCAAAGAGGAGCTTGGTTATTAGGATCATGGGTGAGTTTTCCACAAAAACATGAGATCTTTAGAATTGATTATGACTCAAGACTTTAAGAACTTTTTACTTAATCAAAAACAGGCTACATCAAATTTCCAAAGATTACCAATTTTAAATCAAACACTTTGGAGATTGACTGAAGAAAATGATTTATGGGATTGGAATATTGCAAAAGACTATCCTAATATATATCATGTGATTAAAGAGAAAAAGGAATCAGGTTTTCCTATCACACTTGTAGAGTGAGCTTTTTTCTTTGTCAAACTCTTTGAAGTAAAACCAAACCAGGTCAAAAAGAATCAAAATCTGACTTCTTTTTCTTCTTAAAAATGATACAGCGCTTGGGGTAGGATTGTTGCTAGGCATTTTATGTAAGTTTGGAAAAAGCCAAAATCATTCATCCTATCAAAGTCTTTTAATTGATGATATGTGTTCCTTTTTGGTCAGAAATGATCATGATAAAGGAAAAGGTGTTTTATGGTCATCAATTCGTGATACAAGTGGTTATAAAAATCGTGAATTTCCATTTGTGATAGTTTTATCACTAAGTAGACCAAGTCCTCATCAATCAATTTCAATTCAATGCCCAATTTGTAAGTTCAAAGATCAAAATACCGTTCCTAGTTTTCAAAATCCCTTTGAAGTCCAATTGAATAGATGATTTGATCCCTTGTTATGCTTGGTTTTTAGATGAATATACTCCAGAAGACTTCACTGTTTGGAATCCACGTTTAAATGCGTCTATACCTATTCAATACTTAGGTACAGCCGCACCTTCATTTAAAGATCGAGATGTTTGCGTTGAAGGATATGATAATGCGGGTATGTTTAAGTCTTTTTAACCTCTGTTTGATGAATTCTGGTGGATTGTTATGTGACTAAGGAAATATTATCCAATCAAAAAATAGGATTTATCATGGGTATGTCAAGTAACATCTTATCATCAGTGGATGGACCTCCACACAAAAGGAATTTCTTTTCAAAGATTTTTCGCATGTTCATGAAAGATGATTCCTTCGAAGGAAAAGTTGAGTCTAATAATCCGTTTCTAGAACTTCTTAAATTAAACCTGTACTCCTAGCTATCTTGACTGATCCTTTTTGAAAGGTTCCTAATACTTTCCGAGGTCTTGGTGCATCACCTCCTGCAAGATTTTTTGATAGTGATGCCGAAATGCTTTTAATGGCTGATGGAGGTTTAGCTAGTGAAAATATTCCACTTTTTCCATTGATTCAACCTATAAGACAATTAGATGTTATAATTGCAATTGATTCAGTAAGTTTGACTTTAATCTCTTCAAATGATCATTGAGGCCCTTCATGTCAAATTGAATTTTCATTTTGCTATAGTCTGCTGAAGAAAGGGTTGAGACTGAAGGTCATACGGGTGGATGTAAGCCTTTTTATAGAGTTAATATGAAGGAAGAAGAAAAGACTGATGTGTGATTTTTCATAGACCCAAATGGGACTTCATTATATATGACTTACCTGAAGACCCAATTGCCTGAATATAGTGGATACAGATTTCCAAAGTAAGCTCCATATCTTTTTCAGTTTTATGCGGAAGAAGGACATCACCTTTCCAAACTCTGCAATTGCCAAGAAAATATTTTATCTGATCCAAGTTCAAATTTTTATTTTTGGTTGCAACAAAAAATTGGCAAAAAAAATCAAGGATACCGAATGCAATTGATGGTACATTTTTTCAAAACGGATATACTAAGCGGCCTACATTCTTTGGTTGTTATGATCCACCACCTACTCCTTTGATAATTTATTTACCAAATTATGGTGCAGTAGCAGAAACAGATAGTGAAAGTTCACAAACCACTTATACCGTAAATATAATTCACCATCACTTTCTCAAGATCTTCAAAAGAAATCTCACTGACTAAGATACATATGTTCTTTTGTAGGGTGAACTGATTGGTCAATTTTTTGATAATGGATTTGCAATTGCAACTCAATCACAAGGTACCACTTTTGATCCAGAATGGCCTGCTTGTCTTGCTTGTGCTTTAATTGATAGACAAATGATAAGGAATTTGACTCCTAGAACTGATCAATGTAATAATTGTTTTAAAAGATACTGTGCAGTAGTACCATGACTGAAATTTTTTCATCCTTTCAAATCTATGTAATTTATATCCAAAGATGGTTCATCAATCTGTCTTCTCTACGTTTTTCAATTGGATGATGCTCTTTGGACCTTGATCATACCTATGAGGTAGAAATATGGGGCTAGTTTTTAATTGATTGTTCGAATCTCCAAAAGCCTCAATGAATCTCATCATTCTTTTCTTGAAGCTGTGATACATTTTATCTGATGTAGGATTGCCAGTCCTAACCAAGGTATAACTTGTGACATATCTCCATGGACGAGTTTAGACTTTTGAGGTAAAAACCCATTTCTCTGTGACCAAAGAATTTTTACAGCGTAAAATGCTAATTTAAATTTCCCCATAGTTTAGAAAATAAATAAATTATAAGCGAGAAACAAAAACTTTACCAAAAAGTAAGGTTGAGCTTGGTGCAATCAATAGTCCCAATAGCGTCAAGGTCTCACAGCTCGAAGGATCACAAGTAGTAGATGACAAATTCAAGCTATTCAGAGAGACAAACAGTCGGATCTTAAACATCTCCAAGCGAGGTCTCATCACTTCAACACCTTCAGCTTGATGAAATTCAGCACAATTATCAATCATTTTGATTGGTAATCTCTATTGACCTTATTTCTACAATGTAGGATTCTAAATCATATACTAAGAAATTGATTCACAGGAGTATCAAGTGATTCCTGAAAATAAATGTACACAAAATTCAAACAAAATAGATCTCAAGAAAATATATGCATTATCCTTCACTTTGCAGACTTGGCAGTATTGATCCATCCTAAGCCCACTGCACTTACAAGATACTCATCAGAAGCTACAAGTTTCTCTGTCGTTTCATCTTCCTCTTCATCTCCATGTGGAACCCATGTTTGAGGAATTTGTTTAATCTTGAATTGAACTCCAAAGACGTCTTTGAGGTCTCTGAACCACATCACCATCCCTTCACTCATAGGGCCCCCAATCTTCACTCTTCCTACATCTGTCTGATTACTCAGCAACAGAAACAAAACTGCTAACCACTCGAATCCTTCATCCACACATCCTCCTCGTCGTATCTGTTCAAGTAACCTTCTACAAGCCAATATGGCCACGTCTTCCGGTGTAGAGGTTGGATGCGAGATCGCTTCTGCTGAATGTAGGACGGTAGTTGTAGAGGTTGACAGTAAACTTAATGCATATCCAGGGGATTTACCGCTGTCGGCACCACGATAGACATCGGTATAAATGTAGATGTCAGGAATATATCGATTCAATACTGAACGAGCGGCAGCCACCAATCGATTTGAAAGTTGAGGTGATACTCGAACAGAGTGTCTAAAAAATTGAAATCTCAGTCAGTTTTGCATATTACATTCATACTTTCAAAACTTTCAAAACTTACGCAATACCTCTAATCTTTGAAATTCTCCCAGTCTCCGTGAAATTGATTCCAGCTTTAATGAATTTTACAGATGGACATCTAAAACAACATTCTCCTCCACCTTCAGGAGCATGACCTCTTTTACTGATCTTCAATTCTAATTTTCCTGCATCTTCACCAAGCCACATCCCTAAGGTAGGTAAACCACTTACACGTAGAACATCCACTGAAAGTTCATCATTTACTGTGGTGATACCTTTAAGAGTTAAATTAAGATCGAATTTACAAAATGGACCTAAGGCTAAGATTGGAGTAAGAAAGTAACCAATTGAAGATGATAATGGGGTTTGATGTGTGATTTGTCCTCCAGTCAATGTTCCTGGCACGAAAAAAACTGAGGTTCCGGTGTATGAGATTTCCACGGTAGTACCATTGGTAAGTTTCTCAAGTAAACGTAAAAATGAGACTTCGGCTTCTACAAAAGTCCATTCCCACAACCACCAAACAAATGCTTCGTCAGTATCCTTGCCAGAGATGTCTTGATGAGAATATATTGCTGATGTTTACCAATTAAACCTGGTTCATGATCGTCTGGTCTAATCTGATCGATTCTTATTGGTCTATGTGAAAGTAGTGAGAGTACTAGACGATAGGTAAAATGAAGATGACTTTTGAATTTGACAATTCTTGATGGGTTTGGATTTGAAGTGTTAGTCATCAGGTCTTGAGGTTTCAATGTTCCTTTTCTTTTTTGTTGTTGGTGAAAGTGGATTTCGCTAGTTTTTTTTGGCAGCTTCAAGTTTTTGAATGTTTGGTTAACCTGTGGGATTTGAAAAATTGACCCCGAAGTAGAGTATCCCCCCGAAAGTACGACGGCCCCTTACCCGGGCCCGAATCCACTGAACAGGAGCGGGGCCATGGCTCAATTTTCAAAGGTGAAAAGAGGTGGATGAATGCGATTTTTCTTGACCCATATCGGCTCTTGTATCCCGAAAGTTTATAAAGAAGAAATTGTTCCTGGATTTATGGCGTTCAAACCTGTGCAAGAAATTTGCAAGACCAACGTGCAAGATCCGTGCAAGATTTCTTGCACGGATCTTGCTTAATTAATTTTTTCACAACCCCGCTTGAAAAAACTGCGCAAGCTGAATCATTTGGCCTCAAAGCGAGAAGCCTTAAGTCTGCAAGTTCCGTGCAAGTTCTATGCAGGATGTTAGAGCATCCACAGTGGTGGGCTCCAAATCGGGGCTATCGCCAAATTTGGTGACTGAGCCCCGATTTTTTGGTGCAATGGCAGTCCCCATCGCCAATTTTTTTTGTAGCCGGCTTCAAAGTTCGAGCTTTGGGCTACAAATTTGGCAACAAAAAGCCGGGCTCCAAATTCCCGCACTTGCTCAATCCCATACCTCACACATGTAAGCCCACGCGCACCAATCTCAAAGTGTGTGTAAACACATAGAATCCACACTTTTGAAGTCCGAACGACTGCATCCGGATTGATTTGGGCCCCCACCAAATTTGAATTCACTCGATTTGGAGCCCCAATTTGGAGCCCACCACTGTGGATGCTCTTAAAAGAACTTGCACAGAACTCTCACAAAAATTGCAAATTTCTTGCACAGGTTTGAACACCATAATTATCTACAAAGAAACACGTATAAGCATGGTACCTTACAAAGTGAGATCCAGCATAGCCTACATTTTTTGGGTATCTGTAACGCTGCAACGGGCTCAAGAATCACACAGGTTCAAATATCCTGCAATTACATTTGACTTCTATCAAATATACAAAATTCAATCCATTGGAATAAAAAGTCTTCTTGAACTATGCTCATATTACCCTGAGAAACGCAAGTTTGACCCTAGCCCGCTCGGCCAGGCCGCTGTCTTATACACTTGGCAGTCCTGATCATCTTTTTTGTCAAGATGGTAATCTAGAAACTGTTTGCTTTGGCACCTTCAAATTTATCTTTTAAGTTTCTGGATCTCACTCCAAATTCCACACACCAAAATACCATTGACCATCTTGTGAAAATATTTGGAGAAATGGTCTTATCATATATTTGTCACCATGGTTTATCTTGAGATTATACTTTGTAATAGCCTCCCTCCTATTCAATATTGAATTGTTTATATGTGCTATTTGCATTCAGCTGCTTTTTAAGAGTTCATTTCCTACTATGAGATGATGTGTGGCAAGTTTTTAATTAACAGAGAAGTCAGGATCAATGACAATCAACTTAGAGCACCCACTATGGTGGGCGTGTTTTATCGTAAATTTTGCGGTCCCGACCGCGAAATTTAATCATGCGTGTAACAACTAAATTAGTAAACGCATAAAAACCACTATGAGCTGCTTTACGACCTGATTTACCAACGATAAATCACTGTGAGTCAACCAGATCCACAGTGGTATGATCTTGAAATGAATCATCACATTCCTCATAATCTTTTCCCAAAGATCAATTATCTCAGAAGTCTTCAAATAGCAATAGGAACAACAATAATAACATCAACTAGTCTTGACTTCTTGTTTGATAAACCTCGCATACCACCTCCGCTTCCTTGCACTCAAATCTGAATTGATCGAGACTTATCAAGACTGCACTCAACGTGCTCTGAAACTATATAAGTTTTCAAGTTTGAACTTTGAAGTTGAGGTGTCGAGGTCTGAATGTCGAGATTTGAAGTCTTGAATTGTGGAGTTTGGGATTTGATGTTTTGGAAAAGGCAGTTGTTGACCGATTATCGTACGATAAATCAAGTCGTAGGCTTGCGTAGATCTGAGCACGCGGGGTGCAAGATTTAACGCAGCAGTACGGACTGCATGTCTAAAACAGGTCCGTAGTGGACCTGTCTGGATTTTAGCGTTACGGTAACGCTAAATCACCTCGTTAACGCACCCATAGTGGGTGCTCTTACAGAGGTTTTTAGGCTTCTGGGATTCAAATATATTGCTTTGAAGTTGGAATTGAAAGTCAAGTTATGAGAAAGACACTGAAGAGCTCATCTGTATTTAAAATGTGGATGTGAGAAGCTGGAATGAGAGTCCAGTGAAGATGCTGATTTTATTTTGAAAGGGATGACAACTTGATGAGTCTATAAAAAAGAGGGTTGACCCTGTGGCTTGACAGAATGGGCCAGGGTTGAACAGGCTCAAGTTTCAACAGGGCTTGAAAGCAGGTTTGGATAAAAATTTGTCATATTGAGGATTTGACTCAAGTGGCACTTTAGAGCAAACTTAACTAAGTATCTTGCCAGTGACCCAAGGCTTGAGTGAGGTCTAGAGCCACTGTAGAAAACCATTACTAAACCATGGGGGGGTCCTGTGCCCAAAATTAGTCAGCCGTGGTCCGAGACTCGTCGGGTCCCATTTTGGACCGCAGACGGGGCTCTCAGCCGCCAATTCGCGACCTCTAGACCATCCATGATGAGGTCCATTATCTGCGGCCATGCGGCCACCAATAGACCAGAATGGCAGCAGACCCCCTAATCACCAATTGTAGATAGCCAGAAGACCAGTCTTCAACCAATCACTCCCAACTCCCACCATGTTGAACTCACTGGGTTAGGTCATGTTTGATGATACCGGTGACTCAACCTTGTACCAATCATCACACCCCCCGCCCAACAACATCAAAACAACCTTCCCCAACTCAAGTCCACTTCCAATGACGTGTCCAGTTTGAAAACAAACAAGGTAAATCAGCCCAACAATTGCTCACGGACTTTATCTCAAGGTAACTTTCTTTCAACTCTTTTTCTTTACCTTGGCTTTTTTCACGGTCAACCGCAGCTTGCACCCCAACAAGCTACGTCGCCGAGGGCATGAATATACTATAAATTCTCGATGGAGAAGTTGTCTTGAGATTCCAAAGAATCGATGTCTGAACAGACCGCTAAGATTCAAGTGTAGTACTAAATGAAAACCTGAGGGCACAGGATTCTGTGTAAGACTACAGCTGAACAAGCAAGTCTACGACAATATCAAGCACTGACCTAACAAAAACACAAGTTAAACAATCACAGAAAAAGATTAATACAATATTGAGAAAAGAGAAAGTAAGAAGAGTTTGTTTTAACTACCTGCGAGCTCGAAAGGGATCGTGAAGAGCACACGTAGAAGGTATTAGATAAAACAAAAATAACAATTTAATTCTAGGTCGAGAGTTGTGATGTTAGTAAAGGTAGTTTAGAAGAGAAAAAGATAGCAGAAGAAAAGCTAATAGAAAATGACTCACTGATTCTTTTCGACAGGAAAAGAATCAGAAAAGAGGGGAAAGCAAAACACAAAATGAGAGCAGATAACCCGCAAGAATTTTTCCATCATCCCTTGATTTCATCTTCCCAATTTTTCAAGTAGCTCAACCGAAATACAACCTCAATCTAACCCCTTTGGTCGACTTCTTACACTAAAGTAACACAACACAGCACACCTTCCAAATCAACTCATACAACTTCTAATTCACCTCCTCACAACCTCAATTTGGAAAATGATCTTTGACTAACAATGAAGATAGTTAACTCGTAAGAGGTCAGTATCTTAACATATACCGCCTCGTAAGTTACGCCATTGTCTGCTCAGCATGTTCAACCACCTACTGAAGTCACCCTAGCAAGCAGATTTTACAACATTATATATGAAGATGACTGTTCCGCTATTGACGGGCAAACCTTTGATGACCAATAGGGGTTGCATGAGGATCTCCAAATTTCACTTTCCAATTTGATTCTTGTTTTTGATAATCAGCACAATCTGATGATTCTGATGTTCATCCAATTTACATACAACAGGTCTTTGACCTGATCTACTACTTTTAGTATTTGTATTAGTATTGATCAAATAATGTGGTAAGCTCTTGGTATTTGACAAGGTGATCTTGAATGAGTGGGTCCTGATTGATGACTATTGGTCCCAGATGATTGTTGTTGAGCGATGTCTGTGCTAGGAGGTTTGATCAAATCTGATTTTGCGCAACTTGCAGCAGCTTTCCTTGCTGAAGAACACTGTATGATTGAAAAGGGTGACATTTTTGGAATGGAAGGATGGATTGGATGATTAGTTCACTGTTGATCGTTTAGAGAACATCACACCCATTCAAGACAAGAACAACCCGCTCTCAAATTCTCATCCCCTTCTTACTATTGTTTATGCAAAAACTTCTGTGCTCAATTTATGTTTATCCCAGACAAATTCAAACTGACCGTGTGCTATCTCCCCAATGAGAATGACAATCAAACCACCTATGCATTAGCCTGCCTAACTTCTCCATACTATGTCTGCGAGGTCCCACTCACAGGGGCCAAAATAGATACTCACATACATGTGAGCGTTGTAGACTTTTTGGAATTCTCCAAAAAAGATTGGTTTTCTTTCAGATTGATGCAATTCAAAATCTTGGTTGTGTTCCGGTGATCAGCCTGTGGTGCTCATATTTTACTTGACATTTGTTGAGAAGGCTCATTTCCATCTTGGATGAGCAATAACTGATTTCCGATGAGTACTCAGGATCAGCTCATGGGTCACTGAATACTCCGCAATTTGTTCAAAATGAAGATGAGCACATGAACTATACCTTCCTGAGGCTTCATTTTTCAGTGAAGAAGCCTGCACAGGGGCGTCCCATTTGAGCTGCTCAGCAAATACTCAGTAGCATCCCCTGACTGGATCACTGATGGGCCAGACTTCCCTCAGACTTCCTTGCTAAGGAATGAAGCCTGATAAAAGTGCCATCCCATCTGCTCAGTTTATCTCAGTTGCTCAGCTAATCCTCAGTGATATCCCCG